TCCCCCCCCCCACCGAATATATTGATAAAAAATATATTTAAGTTTAGATTATTGTGGTTATGGTTGTACTTTATTAATCCCTAATCTCTGCCATTACATACAATGAAACAGAGCAATGTAATACAATACACTGTTAGACATTATTGTAAAAAGTAAATTAAAAGTCCATCCTATGTTTTAGTGAGTTTTTAAAAAAATATTTTAGGCAGGAAATGTCAGGAAATTAGTTTTCAAATGTATTTTTTTCTGCGGGGGGGGGACCCCCAGACCCCCTGGAAGATTTGCCCCCCCCAATGTTGACTCCATGGCTACGGCCTTGCAGCACACACGAGGGGGGTCATCGAGGACAGACCGCAGCACAGCGTGTGACGAACCACTCCCCGCTCGCTCGCTCGCTGCTCGGCGCTCTGGACGTCAGAATCGGCAGCCGTGCGGCAGGAGCAGGAGCGGAGCCATGGGGGGGGAACTCAGCCCCCCCTGAAATTTTGGGAAAGTCGGTAATCGGGATAACCGGATATCCGGCTGCTGCAAAATGCTGCAGACTGCCACCTTGTGCTGCCCTGCAGGCTACCACCTTGTGTGCTGCCCTGCAGGTTGCTTGAGCGGCAGCCTTTCGAACTTATCGAACTTATCAGCCACATCAGCGGCTCCGACCTATTAATAAACTCCGCGTTCAAATCCAATAAAATTTGTTTCATACATTTGTGGCGCCCATTGGAGAACATTACACTGGATATCTCAGAATATTGAAGTCAGGCCCCCCCCCCCCCCCAAAGTCAAAATCCTGGCTCCGCCCCTGGCCAGGACGACCGCTGCCAAGCGATGGCAGCAAAGCGCGAGGAGGCCCGGCTTGCCAATGAAACAAAAATTAAGTTTCAAAACAATAATTTAAACCCAAATCTTGAGACGCCAGCCCCGGGCGTGATGCTTCGCAGCAGTAGACACAAATCTCTGGCTCGCTGGCACCTGTGACAGGCGGGCCATGAGCTCAGAACAAACGCCAAGCCACACACCTGGACATCCTTAGAGGTGGCCCACATCCATATTCACAAGGACAAAGATTCCACCACCCCCCACCCACCCACCCACCCCCCAGACCGCACCCGGATAGCCTCAACAGTGCTGTATTTTTGTTTTCACCTGAAGACGATTGCTTGTGTTGCGATCGAAACGTCGTGATTTCTTCTTTTTTTCCTATCTACGTGGCTTTACCGAAAGACACATAGAATATGAATTCCTGCAGTCACGAAAGCTTTAAGTCAAGATTCGAAAATGATGTTAGCGAGTAGCGGCATCTACGAAGGCCGGCACGGCACACAAAGGTGGGTGGGGGTGGGCACAGCATCGCGCCCGGCCGCCTTTGTCTCCCCAGTGGCCGATGTTTATACACCGCACCAGGTACTCATTTGAGGCCGAGTCGACCTAGGCGCGACCCAGGACCGGTTCAGATAATCGTCACCGGTGGTGTTGGCCGTGAGCGGGAATCGAACCCGGGTCGCCGGGTTCGTAGCGCGGCGCGACGCGGCGCTAACCGCTACGCCTCCGCTCCCCCCACACACACACAGACACACACACGTGTACACACACATACGTGTACACATACAACAACAACAACCGCCATTCACCACTAAGTGGCGGTGACGTCACCACGACGCTTGTGCCAGGCTATGTGCACCCTGAGGCTACGTGAAGTGTCGAACGCCCGCTGGCAGGAGGTCACGGGGCAGACCCAGGTGCCACGGGTCGACTGACTGAGATGACTGGCTGATGCACCACCTGTGCCCCCCTACTGTGCCAACCTGCTGTGCTTTAGCCACCCGGCGCTCCGCTCGTTGTTGTGAGCGTCGCGCCTCCGCCCTCCGTTGTTGTTGGAGGGCGACTACCTCCTCCACAGAGGCCGATCTTGACACCGCTGGTACCAGTCATCGGCAAGTCCACTCAGCTCCACGTCCTCCTGTACCACATCACTCCATCTCTTCTCTAGCCCGTGCCGCGCCCGTTTAGCCCCCTCAATCCGGCCGAACAAAAGCTGTTTCGGCATTCGGTGGCTGGGCATGCGGGCTACATGACCCAGCCATCGCAGCCTTGCCCGCCGGAGGAGCTCACCGATGGGACCTTGCCCAGATCTTTCAAGGGTTTGTGAGCTCCTCACACAATCCAGTCTGGTTAAACCCAGGATGGATCGTAGGCAGGCCAGCCTAAATATTTATAACCGGCGAAGATGTTCCATTAGGGGGGTCCACGTTTCGCAAGCGTTGAGAAGGGAGGGAATGACCGTGGCCGAGAAGACCTGAAGCTTAGTGCGGAGCGACAGACCAGGTGGCTTCCACACAGCGTTACGCAACCGATGAAAATATATTGCCGCTCGACTGATTCGGAGTGAGACCTCTGCTGTTAAACTGGAGCCGGTCATAAGCACACTGCCCAGGTATGGGAAACTCTCCACTCGCTCCACAACTGCCCCATCTCCGATTGGGAGTTGTGGTGGTGGAGTGTCCGATGGTACAAAATACTCAGGCAGGTGCTTAGTTTTGGTGGGGCTGATGGTAAGGCCCCACCTCTTAGTGGCACGCTCCAGTCTCAGCAGCAGCGTCTCCAACTCCTCCTCTGAATGAGCAGCTATTACCAAATCATCAGCATACATAACGTGGTTGATCAGCCTCCCATTATATCTGTACCATATGGAGATTCCCCCGGTACAGCTATTGAAAGCTTCACGAACTACGTGGTCAAAATAGATGTTAAATAATGTGGGAGCCAGAGGACATCCCTGTCGCACCCCAAGGTGTACAGGGAATGGCTCTGACTCCCGGCCACGTAGTTTTACCCGGGCCCGCTCACCATCATGAAGGTCCTTAATGATCGTGAGCAGAGGGTCAGGTACTCCAAAAGCACGAAGAACAGCCCAGAGCCCAGGCCTACTGATGGTATCATAGGCCTTGACCAGGTCAATAAAGCAGAGATGTAGGTCTTGTTGGAATTCCCTACACCTCTGCTGTAGCAGACGGACAGAAAATATGGCATCTGTGCAGGACCGCCCTTTCCTGAAACCGCATTGGGGCTCCGCAAGCCTCTCCTCAGCGTGCCTGGCAAGGCGATGTTGAATAATCCTTGCCAGGACCTTTCCCGGCACACTGAGGAGTGAGATGCCCCTGTAGTTGTTAGAGTCTGTGCGGTCCCCCTTTTTAAGGGGGGGACCACCAGGGCATCCTTCCAATCCTGCGGAACCCGTCCAGTGGTCCAGACTGTTGTTATGATGTCATAAAGGGCAGTCTGTGCACAAACGCCACCCTCCCTCAGCATTTCGCTTGGGAGATCATCTTTGCCCGCTGCCTTTCCTGGTCTCAGACTCCGGATCGCCTTCAGTACTTCCTCAACAGATGGCACCTCAGCCAGCCACTCACAGGGGGTGACTTCTTCCAATATTTGAGGCACAGCAGCCTCAGCAGGGTCATCCTCACTTTGTGCCACGATGTTTTCTTGGCTGAGGGATTTTCCCTCCCCCAGGACCTCACAGAAATGCTCAGCAAATCTGCAAACCTGTTCCTGGGGGTCAGAGATTGGATCACTGTTTTTTCCCCTAATGATGGTAATAGGTGTGGCGCTGCAGGTTACTTTTTTGATGGAGTTAAATAGAGATTTGTGATCACGGGCCACTGAGGCAGACTTCATCTCCTCAGCAACCCGCGACCACCACCCATCCTTGCAACGCCTCACGGCTCTCCGAACCTCCGAGCGAAGGCTGCGGTAAGCCTCCTCATTCTCTGACGTGGGATTCTGTAGCCGATGACAGTGGGCCTGTCGCTTTTTCTCAACCATCCTGAACACCTCCTCTGTCAGCCAGGGTCTCTGGGGAGGTCTGGACCGCGTACCCAAAGCAGCCATTGCAGCTGCATGAGTCACAGTCCTAAACCTCGCCCATTTACCCTCGACATCAGGAGGAGTCGGGGACGATGCCAATCCCAGCCGCAAGCGATGATGAAATTCTCGCTTGCAACTTTCACACACAAACACGTACACACACAAACACGTACACACACACACGCGTGTACACACAAACACGTACACACACGCGTGCACACACACACGCGTGCACACACACACGCGTGCACACACACACGTGTACACACACAGACGAGGATCCCCTCCGCCCCTTCCCCCCCGCTTCTTATGCCACAGTAGCGGCCTTCATAGCTGCTGCTGCTGCTCGCGAGCAGCAGCAGCACTTGCCCCAACAGTCTGTTACAGGCTACACGGGATGTCACGGGGGGTCACCTTTGTCTATAGTGTCAGATCTAATCGGACCACCACCACCACCACGCCCCACCCCCTACCTCGCTCCCCCCAGCCCAGACCCCCAGGTCCCCGTCTCCCACGCCACGCGCTCCTCGTTAGCAGCCTCATGGGGGGGGGGGGGTGGGGTGGGGGGCTAATTGCGTTATGGTTGCACGCGCGCTCAGACGCACGCGCACGCCTGGCCAGCCCCCCCCCCCCACTCTACCAGCGTTCCGCCCCGCCCCCTGCGTGCCCCCCCCCCGCCCCCCACTAATCGCCGCGCCTCGGGCGGCGTTAAAGGCGCTCGCTGGCCGCGAGTGAGCGCGGCGCGGTGAGTGGCGGTGGCAGCACGCGGACAGCAGCCAGGCGGTAGGGGAGGTGACAGTGAGTGTGAGTGATAGTGAGTGTGAGTGATAGTGAGTGTGAGTGATAGTGAGTGTGAGTGATAGTGAGTGATAGTGAATGAGCGTGAGTGATAGTGAGTGTATGTGAGTGGGTGAGTGAGTGAGAGTGAGTGAGTGAGTGTGAGTGGGTGATAGTGAGAGAGTGATCGTGAGTGAGAGTGATTGATAGTGAGTGATAGTGAATGAGCGTGAGTGATAGTGAGTGTATGTGAGTGGGTGAGTGAGTGAGAGTGAGAGAGTGATCGTGAGTGATAGTGAATGAGTGTGAGTGATAGTGAGTGTATGTGAGTGGGTGAGTGAGTGAGTGATAGTGAGAGAGTGATCGTGATTGCTAGTGAGTGATAGTGTTTGTGAGTGTTAGTGACAGTGTTAGTGACAGAGTGACAGAGTGACAGTGAGCGCCGTGATGTCACCCCCACGTCGTGCGTGCCCGTGCCTGGCGCTCTACGCCTTGGCGCTGCTGCTGCTGCTGCTCGCCCTCGTGGCGCCAAACGCTCGCCGCAGAACCCTCTTCGACCCCCTCGCTCAGGACCCCTCCAACCCGTCCCCAGCTCTCTCTCACCTCCCTCGTCACCTCCCCGACTCCCTCTCCCTGCTCGAGCCACATTCTCCCGCCGACCCCCTCGACTCCTTGGACCCCCTCGACCCCCGCGACGCCGCGTCCCTACCCCCGCTGCCGTACTCCGTGCCGCTCGACTACGGCGGCCGGGCCCGGCTGGAGTGGAGCGTGGACCCCGCCGAGCCCGGCCATCGAGGGGACCCCGGGGATCCCCGTCGCCTGACCCTGCGGGTGACCGTGAGCCCGTGGCGTCACGGACTCCTGCTGGGGCTGTCCGAGCGCGGCCGCTTCGAGGGCGCGGAGTTCGCGGCCTGGTGGGACGGCGGCGGCGGCGGCAACTTCGCGGTGACGACTCCTCCTCACCTCGTCACTCACCTCGTCACTCACCTCGTCACTCACCTCGTCACTCACCTCACCCACCTCGTCACTTACCTCGTCACTCACCTCGTCACTCACCTCACCCACCTCGTCTCTCACCTCGTCACTCACCTCGTCACTCACCTCACCCACCTCGTCACTCACCTCGTCACTCACCTCGTCACTCACCTGGACGCCAGGCCACGTGACTCCTCCTCACCTCGTCACCCACCTCACCCACCTCGTCACTCACCTGGACGGCAGACCACCTGACTCCTCACCTCGTCACTCACCTGGACGCCAGGCCACCTGACGCCTCACCTCGTCACTCACCTCACCCACCTCGTCACTCACCTGGACGCCAGGCCACGCGACTCCTCACCTCGTCACTCACCTCACCCACCTCGTCACTCACCTGGACGCCAGACCACGCGACTCCTCACCTCACCACCTCCCTTCCTCACCGCTCACCTCGTCACTCACCTCGACGCCAGACCACGTGACTCCTCACCTCACCTACCCACCCTCCTTCCTCACCGCTCACCTCGTGACTCACCTCGACGCCAGACCACGTGACTCCTCACCTCACTTACCCACCCCCCTTCCTCACCGCTCACCTCGTGACTCACCTCGACGCCAGACCACGTGACTCCTCACCTCACTTACCCACCCCCCTTCCTCACCGCTCACCTCGTGACTCACCTCGACGCCAGACCACGTGACTCCTCACCTCACCTACCCACCCCCCTTCCTCACCGCTCACCACGTCACTCACTCGCTGTCTCTCCTCGAGCCGACGATAGCCTCTCATAATCGTGTTAGGGGCACCCAAGATCAGTGTGTTTCTCTTCCTTGCGATGGGACTATGTAGGGTGAACGTTGAGATGTATAAGGGGCACGGGGTGACCAATAAGGTCTGAGTTGGTCTGTGAACAGGTAGAGGCATTGATAAGGGGTTAGTGATGTGCGTCCTTAAAAAACCTTCGCCACCTCCCACGACCCTGCGAGGTAGCGAACCACCTCGAGACGTCCGCTCGCTACCGCCACCACCATCACCATCGTCATCACCACACATAAGGTCGCGCTCTCTACACCCACAAAGTGCGCGTGCCACGAATTAACCGCGCCATCGCCTCGCTGCTCATCTCGTCAGATTGACAAACTAATTTCTTTACAACTGCCTTTCTGTGTTCAGTTTGTTGTCCTTCCCCCCGCACGTAGCCATTGGCGCGGTTGGCTACGTGCCGTGCGAAAAGAGGTTCAAACATGCGAACAAAGTCGGTGGTCACCGCTTTCAGATGCACTTCTGCGGTCGTCTGGAACCGCTCTTCCTTGTGCTGCAGAGTAAATGGTGTTGATGATATATTGATGACGGTGTTTGCTGTTGTTGTTGTTGTTCAGTGCGCGTGGACGGACGCGCGCGGCCTCCTCGTGCCGCGTCGGAGCGCGCTCCCCTGTGGATTTCGCCTCGCGTCGCGGCAACGCAAGGCGCGTGCAGGGCGCGTGCTCACCGTCACGCGCGTCCTCGACACGTGCGAGCCGCGCGACTACCGCATCCAGGTGAGCGGGGGGGCCGCGTTGACTGCTGTTGCATATGTGGGTGTTATAAAAAAAACAATTGATGAAAATAATGAAAGTTGAATGAAATGTTAAATTTGCATAATTTATCCGAAATTATGTTAATTGGTGTAATTATGCGCAGACATTATGCTGATTCGAGAGATTAATCGAATTGATTTATGCGAGTGGGCGCGGTTATGATAATGCAGGTCGAGCCTCGGTGACGAGGATTGTGTTAAGAATTGGAATAACGCAATTGATCGTATGCAGTTCTGTAGGTGTTGTGAGCATGAATGAGAGAGAGAGTCGATTCGACTCTGCTATTTAATTCCGTATTATCAATAAGGATACGATTATCTTCGATTTAACGTGTATTGATTATGTGATGGATTATGGATTAGTGTGCTTATGATAGGTCCCCTCAAGGTTCATAATTTCATTCGCAGAACAATTTTATGCAGAATTTCAGGAAGAATCACAAACAAACCTTCTGCTTTAATCAATTTTATTTTCTAGCTAAACTTAATTTTTTTGGATAATATGAAAACTCTCGATCTTGGAATTTCAACACAGCGTTAACATGATACCATCACGATTGCGTTGTTTCACTTTGATAACGGCACCTGTGGTTAATTCCCGACGCGTAACGCAATTATTCGGTTGTTGAGAGAGATTAAAAACATGCGAACTATCCTATCAAAACCTTAACCTTATAATATGCAAATTCGTTACACAACACGGCACTCGGTCTTTGATTCGTATCCAATCCTTAACACATTCTGATATGCGAAATTATTATGCTTGAAATCGTCAGCACAGTACCAGGGCGATGTTCGTTCATTGATTCATAAACGATTATGCAAATAAAGCGTTCGACTGAAATACTTCTGATTGCCTTATCAACGTAACTCAATGGGTGGCGATCTTTTTTTGTTATCAGCTAATAGTTGACGCATTTATCATGAGTCTTGTATGTTTAATGGGAGCGTTGTTGATTTCTTGCGTTGAGCAAACGTCTAGGTTGATTTCATTGTCAAAAAAATAACGTTGGTTCGTTGTGTAGCGGTGGGGAAGTGAGTAGGGGGGGAGAGTGTGGGGGGAGGGCATACGAACGGCTGCCAGTTTCTGTCCACCGCTGGCTGGATGAGTCAGCACGATGCTCGCCGTCGTCGCGCCGATGGGTGTTGAGTGCGGGGCCGCTGCCCTCTCAGCCCTGGTGACGCGAAGTTGCGCGCTGTAGCACGCTGGTGGCACGCTGTTGGCGCGCGCTGGTGCTGATGCTGGCGCTGATGGCACGCTGGTGGCGCGTGCGCTCCCTCTCCTTGAAGATGCGCGAACGCGCCCGTGCTGGTTCGCTGACAGCAGTTTCTCTCCACTGCTGGATGAGCTGCGCCGGCGCGCGCTCTTTCCGCTGCCGTAGTATCTGACACCGCGCTCGCGGGCGACTGGTCAAGTTTTTCTTCTGCTGAGTGAGCCGAGTCGCACGCGCTCTCTCTGTTGAGGTTGTTGGCGGCCGCTCGTGCTGGCAGATGCAGGCTCTTTTCCACCGCTGGATGGCTGCTGCACGTGCTTGCTTGGCGAGCCTGGCGGTCTTTTTCCGCTGCTGGATGGCTGAGTCGGCACAACGCTTGGCCGATGGTTGGTTGACTCTTTTGTTGGTTGGCGCCGGACGTTCCGCTCTGCCGCTGCTGGATGGCTGGCACTTGATGTAGGAGTAAACGTTTTGATTCGATACTTTGCCTTTCGCTCTGAACTACGCTCGTTGATACATCGTGACTCAGCGATCCTCGCTACTCGGCGAGGATCGCTCCTTGGAGCCAGTCGCTCGCTGCGACTGCTCGTGTCTTGCCGACGTCTTGAATCGCCGATCTGTGTTAGTGTGCGTTCGTGTGTGTGTTTGTGGGGAGCGATAGTGTAGCGGTTAGCGCGCTGCGCTATGAACCTGGCGACCCGGGTTCGATTCCCGCTCACGGCCAACACCAGTGACGATTATCTGAACCGGTCCCGGGCCTCCCCTAGGTCGACTCAGCCTCAAATGAGTACCTGGTGCGGTGTGTAGACATCGCCTCTAGGGAGACAAAGGCGGTTGGGCGTGGTGCCAGCCACCCACCTCCTCGTGTACCGTTCCGGCCTTCATAGGTGCTCGCTAGCAGCACTTGCCCCTACAGTCTGTTAAGGCTATATGGGGGATCTTTGTCTTTTTGTGTTTGTGTGCCATCTGCCACACCCCTGGGGGGGGGAGGGGGCGACACTCTTCGTAACATCAAGCTTTACTCAATAGGGTGTGAAATTCCTTTCTCGCGCTCTGCGGGAGATACAAAGGCGGGCGGGAGTACCTCTCTCTCTTTGGTAGCTTTCGGTTTAATGTTTCTCAAATACCATTTGGTCTTATGTTTACCAAGGCTCGTGTTTTGTAACTATGTCCTTCCGACGCACCTTTCGGGTTATTCCGAGGTTTGCGTTGTTACGATGGAATTATTATTTATTTTATAATAAAGATGTTTATCCTGAGTTCAAGAGGTCCGTTTCTTGATTGTTGGAATCCATATCCCTTGGTTCTGTAAGGTTCTATAATGGAATATATTTTAAGGTTAACACGTTGTTATTAATGTTACGTGTGATTTGTATTGCAATTCCTTTAACTTAAAACTTGTTCGCTGGCTGTTGTGTGTGGGTGGGGTGTGTTTTCTCATTAATCCGTCTGGCTCGCTCCAGATGGCCCCTTGTGATAAGGTGTGGTTCCTGCTTCTCCGCGCTGCGAGAGAGACAAAGGTGGTCGGGGTTTGCTTGGGATATTGTTTAAACTCTTTCGTAAGTTTGCCCGTTCGCCTCATTCCTTCTCGATAACCTTTGATGTGACTCGGTATTTCTGTCTCCAAGCTTTGTTTTTTAACAGTAAAAAGTATTAAAGGTGAAAATCATTTGATAGCGAATTAATTATTGGATAATAATTCACTGATGTATCTGGTGGCCTGGTCTTAATTGGAGTGAGCGCGAGGACCGCTAACTTTAGCTTATTCTTGTTATTGGATTTTAAATTTTAACCGTTGTTTAAATGACAAAGTAAAAAAAATATATAGTTTAACCCGTGGGCGTCCTCGTGTCTGGCTTGCGGAGGGCTTCCCTCTGCGTGACCTCCCCTAGGGCTCATCAAACACTTGTTCATCTGGAGATCTTCGCAGATAGCTCCTCGCCTTGAGAGTTTTATTATTTCTTTATTTATTCATGGCCTGTTTATGATCTCCATCTGTGTTTGCGTGTTTTTGGGTTTGTGTGTTTTATGCATTATTTCTCTTTATTGTTAAAAAAAAAAACATTTTTTATATATATCGGCAGATAGTATTGTCAACATCAATTTTGGAAGAAAAAAAAGGCTTATATATCCAACACTGCCGCGTCCAGGTGAGCCGGGCCAAGTGGCGCCCGTAGACGTTGGCTGTACCGCTTTCTCCTGGCAGAGACAGTGTATGGCTCGCCGTCGACGTAGCCCACAGACGATCAGGGAAACAGCAGCGGCAGCAGCAGCAGCAGCCACGCGGTGAGAAGCCGGAGCCAAATCCCCCCTAAGCTCTGCGGTCCTCCATATATTAAGGTGTTTATCGGCCACTTCATGAAATCCGGAGCTCGCTGAGCAGCGGGCAACACTCCATCCCGACCAGACGGAGCAGTTGAAGTCCACACTTTGCCGCACCGATTTCCAACTGGGGAGCCAGGGGTGCGTTTCCACCTCGACGCCCACCCACGGCTAGAAGGGAGTTTGACGACAACAACAACAAGTGTGTGTGTGTGCGGTGATCCACGAATCCTCGCTGCCATTGCTGCTCCCTCCACAGTCGCAGGCAACCACGCCATTTTGCAGCAGCATCGTAGCCACCTCCACCCAGCTGCTGCAGATGATGTTGCCGCTGATGCTGCTGACGATGTCGATGCTGCTGATGATTATTATACTGCTGATGTCGATGCTGCTGATGATGATGCTGCTGATGTCGGTGATGCCGCTGATGACGGCGATGCCGCTGATGATTATACTGCTGATGTCGATGCAGCTGATGATGATACTGTTCATGGCGATACTGCTGATGATGATACTGCTGATGTCGCTACTGCTGATGGCGATGCTGCTGATGTAGATACTGCTGCTGATGATACTGCTGTTGATACTGCTCATGGCGATACTGCTGATGATGATATTGCTGATGTCGATACTGCTGATGATGATACTGCTGATGTAGATACTGCTGATGATGATACTGCTGATGTAGATACTACTGATGATGATACTGATGATGATACTGCTGATGATACTGCTGATGTCGACGCTGCTGATGATGATACTGCTGATGTAGATATTGCTGATGATGATACAGCTCATGGCGATGCTGCTGATGATGATACTGCTGATGATGATACTGCTCATGGCGATACTGCTGATGATGATACTGCTCATGGCGATACTGCTGATGATGGTGATGCTGCTAATGCCGATGCAGCTGATGATGATGCTGCTGATGTAGATACTGCTGATGATGATACTGCGGATGGCGATGCTGCTGATGATGATACTGCTCATGGCGATACTGCTGATGATTATACTGCTGATGTCGATACTGCTGATGATGATACTGCTAATGTCGATGCTGCTGCTGATGATACTGCTAATGTCGATACTGCTGATGATGGTGATGCTGCTAATGCCAATGCAGCTGATGATGATACTGCTGATGTCGATGCTGCTGCTGCTGTTGTCGATGTTGCTGCTGATGATGATGCTGCTGCTGTTGTCGATGCTGATGATGATGATGCTGCTGCTGATGACGACGATGTCGACGTCTCCTCCGCACGTGGCAGGAGGGCACGGTGCACGTGCTCTACGCGCTGCTCGATGAGCCAATCGCGCGCGAGCCCTGGGGGTCGCTGAACGTGACGTCACTGCGCGCGCGCGGGGTCCGCCTCGTGCGCCTCCTGCGGGACGGGGGCGGGGCTGGGGGCGGGGCTGGGGGCGGGGCTGGGGGCGGTCCGACCCAGCGCCCGCCGGCGGTGCTGGACGTGCGCGCGCCCAACGTGACGGTGCCCGCGCGCGAGACCACCTACTGGTGCCACGTGACCGAGTTCCCGCACACGGGCACCAAGCACCACATCGTGAAGGTGACGTCACCACCCCCGCCCCCGCTACTCCCCACTGCAGAATCAGAATGTTTATGACTGCAGGCGAAATCCGATGAGCTATAAAGCTCTTTTTTTGTCCCCTCTCACAGATGTCCAGTAGTGGGCGCGCGGTCAGAACGTGACAACAACAAAGACAAAAACGCGATAGGAGTGCAAAGGGGCCGTCCATAAATGACGTCACGCACCTAGGGAGGGGGGGGTCAGACATTTGTGACGATGTGTGACGAGGGGGGGGTTGAGAAATGTGACGTCACATCAAAATGCGCTACTTTAAATAAATATAGACAACACGTTCTACTTAATTAAATTGACTTTTTTTATACATGTTTTCTCCTACAACATCAGAGTGCAGCGCCACATTAAATACTCACTACAATGACAATAGTTTACAGCGATTTGAAGCTACTACACATGTGTACACATGTGTAGTAGCTACTACTACACCTAGCCACTTACTCGCTCACTCACCCATCCACCTACCCACCCGCTCACTCACTCGCTCACTCACCCAGGCACTCACCCACTCGCTCATTCAGCCATTCACCCACTCACCCATCCACGCACTCACCCACCCACTCACTCACCGACTGACTCACCAACTCGCTCACCCACCAACTCACTCACCTGTGCACTCACTCACCAGCTCACTCACCCATCCACCCACTTACTCACCCACCCACTCATCTATCCACTCACTCACTCACTCGCTCACTCACCCATCCATCCACTTGCTCATTCACACACTCACCCACTCACTCACCCATCCACCCACTCACCCACCCACTACTACACGTGTAGTAGTAGCTACTACACGTGTAGTAGCTACTACTACATGTGTAGTAGCTACTACACGTGTAGTAGTAGCCACTACACGTGTAGTAGTAGCTACGGGCCCCGCACTTTCAAGGGCTCCGCGCTAAATACTTTCAAGCTATCAATGCCGGTTCAGTGATTCTGTACTTGCTCTATTACTATAGTACTATACCGCCTTCAACTTTTACGAACGACTGGTAGTTTAAGGTTAGCGATCTGTCGTATCATCTGGCTGTATAGCAAATGAAATAATACAATTACTTTACTGTGTAAGTTACGAATGTGTGTTTAAATATGTATGTGTTTTATTTGTTTATTTAGGGTCCCGTTTATATCGTATGCTACAGGCCCCGCACGAGCTTCATCCGGCACTGTGCAGTATGAATGTGATTAGTGCGCTTTGAGTGGCAGATTCGTGGCAGAAAGACGCCACCACGCTACGTGAACAAACATAAACTTGACTTGGAACACCCACTCAACCACCCATCCACGTACTCACCTACCCACCCAACCACTCACTCACCCACCCACTTCACCTATGCACTAACTGTAATGCTCACTCACCCATCCACCCACTCACTCACCCACTCAGTCACCTAGCCACTTACTCGCTCACTCACCCATCCACCTACCCACCCGCTCACTCACTCGCTCACTCACCCAGGCACTCACCCACTCGCTCATTCAGCCATTCACCCACTCACCCAACCACGCACTCACCCACCCACTTACTCACCGACTCACTCACCAACTCGCTCACCCACCAACTCACTCACCTGTGCACTCACTCACCAGCTCACTCACCCATCCACCCACTTACTCACCCATCCACTCATCTATCCACTCACTCACTCACTCGCTCACTCACCCATCCACCCACTTGCTCATTCACACACTCACACACTCACTCACTCACCCATCCACCCACTCACCCACCCACTCGCTGTCGTATAGAGAACTGTATGGATTCGGTATGAATGTGATGACGGCGCTTTCAGTGGCAGACTCGTGCCAGAAAGACTCCACACCACATTGCGTAAACAAAAATAAACTTGACTTGACCCACCCACCCACTCACTCGAGTAGGAGGTCGTGGGTTTGATCCCGACCCTGACGCCTGCTGCTGCTGTATATTTGGAGTTTGCGTGTCTCTCTCTCATCATCATCACGGTGGCTAGGAGATGTTAACTACCTCGCCTGGTGTACAGGAGGTCGTGGGTTTGATCCCGACCCTGACGCCTGCTGCTGCTGTATATTTGGAGTTTGCGTGTCTCTCTCTCATCATCATCACGGTGGCTAGGAGATGTTAACTACCTCGCCTGGTGTACAGGAGGTCGTGGGTTTGATCCCGACCCCGACACCTGCTGCTGTATATTTGGAGTTTGTGTGTCTCTCTCTCATCATCATCATCATCACGGTGGCTAGGAGATGTTAACTCCCTCGCCCGGTATACAGGAGGTTCATGGGTTCAATCCCGACCCTGACGCCTGATGTATATTTGGAGCCTGCGTGCCTCTGTGGATTTTTCTCCCAGTCCTCCGGGTTTTTCCTCTCCACGTTTGGAATGAACGTCACGCGTTTTAGAGTACATTTGGCAACAGCTATGAACTGCCACGTGACGCCGAGCCATTTCTTCGATAGTCAGGGTGCTTTTGAAAAATAACTACACAGGGCTCAGTGGTGACTTACCTGCTACAAATAAAAGACCGAGTGAAACTTCGTAACTCTCCGTCGCTGTCTGTCTGCAAAACCTCCACCCCCCCCCCCCTCCCCCCCACGTGTCCAGTTCGAGCCTCTGCTGACACGGGGCCACGAGGCCATGGTGCATCACATGGAGGTGTTCCAGTGTCCCGGCGCGGGGGCCGCCCCCGTGACGCCCTTCAGCGGCCCCTGCGATGACCCACGGCGTCCCGCGGGCCTCGATGCCTGCCGCAGAGTGCTGGCCGCGTGGGCCATGGGGGCCGAGGTGAGGGCCCCGCCCACCCACGCGGAGGTGGCGGTGACCATCCAGGGGATAGGCAGCCTCGCACACAGAGAACAGGGTCACACGCACAGCTGCTTGTACACACAGGCACGGCAGCGGGTATGTATCAGGCGGCGGCGACAACAACAACAACACATTCTGACTTAAATAAACAAAGTAGGTGATGAAATAAAGTGCGAATGTTTAGCTGTTTATCCCCTCCCTTAGTCACTCTTTAACAAGACAGTTCGACTGTTGTGCATTTTGTGTGTCGCCAAGACATTCCGCAGTGATGCCATTCCCTGCCACATTTAATCAATTATCTTCATGTTAAATTACGCTTAATATTTAAGTTTACATTTTTTTAAACGGTCGCCCGCAAAGGGGGCAGCCAAAGAGCCGCAAGGGGGCAGCCAAAGAGCCGCAAGGGGGCAGCCAGAGAGCCGCAAGGGGGCAGCCAAAGAGCCGCAAGGGGGCAACCGAAGAGTCACACGGGGGCAGCCAAAGAGTCTCTAGGGGGCAGCCAAAGAGTCACACGGGGGCAGCCAAAGAGTCACAAGGGGGCAGCCAAAGAGCCGCAAGGGGGCAGCCAAAGAGCCGCAAGGGGGCAGCCAAAGAGCCGCAAGGGGGCAGCCAAAGAGTCACAAGGGGGCAGCCAAAGAGTCGCAAGGGGGCAGCCAAAGAGCCTCAAGGGGGCAGCCAAAGAGTCACAAGGGGGCAGCCAAAGAGCCGCAAGGGGGCAGCCAAAGAGTCACAAGGGGGCAGCCAAAGAGCCGCAAGGGGGCAGCCAAAGAGCCGCAAGGGGGCAGCCAAAGAGCCGCAAGGGGGCAGCCAAAGAGTCGCAAGGGGGGGCAGCCAAAGAGTCACAAGGGGGGCAGCCAAAGAGCCGCAAGGGGGCAGCCAAAGAGTCGCAAGGGGGCAGCCAAAGAGCCGCAAGGGGGAAGCCAAAGAGCCGCAAGGGGGCAGCCAAAGAGTCACAAGGGGGCAGCCAAAGAGTCACAAGGGGGCAGCCAAAGAGTCACGAGGGGCAGCCAAAGAGTCACAAGGGGGAAGCCAAAGAGCCGCAAGGGGGGAGCCAAAGAGTCACAAGGGGGCAGCCAAAGAGTCACGAGGGGCAGCCAAAGAGTCACAAGGGGGCAGTCAAAGAGCCACAAGGGGGCAGCCAAAGAGTCACGAGGGGCAGCCAAAGAGTCACAAGGGGGAAGCCAAAGAGCCACAAGGGGGCAGCCAAAGAGTCACGAGGGGCAGCCAAAGAGTCACAAGGGGGAAGCCAAAGAGTCACGAGGGGCAGCCAAAGAGTCACAAGGGGGAAGCCAAAGAGCCACAAGGGGGCAGCCAAAGAGTCACGAGGGGCAGCCAAAGAGTCACAAGGGGGAAGCCAAAGAGTCGCAAGGGGGCAGCCAAAGAGTCACAAGGGGGCAGCCAAAGAGTCACAAGGGGGCAGCCAAAGAGCCTCAAGGGGGCAGCCAAAGAGTCGCAAGAGGGAAGCCAAAGAGCCGCAAGGGGGGGCAGCCAAAGGGCCGCAAGGGGGCAGCCAAAAAGTCACAAGGGGGCAGCCAAAGAGTCACAAGGGGGCAGCCAAAGAGTCACAAGGGGGCAGCCAAAGAGTCGCAAGGGGGCAGCCAAAGAGTCGCAAGGGGGCAGCCAAAGAGTCACAAGGGGGCAGCCAAAGAGCCTCAAGGCGGGGCAGCCAAAGAGTCACAAGGGGGCAGCCAAAGAGTCGCAAGGGGGCAGCCAAAGAGTCACAAGAGGGCAGCCAAAGAGTCACGAGGGGGCAGCCGAAGAGCCGCAAGGGAGCAGCCGAAGAGCCACCGCATGCAGCTCCGGACCCGCTGGTTTGTCGACCCCTGTTGATGTTGAAGGAGGTGCTGATGGATGATGGTGGTTATGAATGGAGGTTGTTGTGAGGGTTCCATCATGGAGCTAAAATCATTCCATGTCTTTGTAGTCCACGCACAGACGCTCTGAGAAGCAACGCAAACTCACGAGGGACCCCCAGCAGTCCGGCAGAGATGGCGGTTGATTTTTAATTCTCAACAAAACCCTATTAACATCCTTAGCGTCATATAATTTAATCCGTAACAAACGTGCATATGCTTCAAACTGCAAACTCCAGAGCAGGTGTGAAGGATAAAGCCTGCCACCTTGACGAGGAACATAGTGTGTGCAGGCTAGAAGATGACCTTGTCAAACTGGAAAGAGTTTATAGAGTTTCCTTTCCAGAGGCAACAACAATGTGAACAGGTTAGACATGACTCTCGTCAAACTGGAAAGATGTTATTTTGTTGCCTTTCCAGAGGCGGCAAGAATGTGAACAGGTTAGACATGAATCTCGTCAAACTGGAAAGATGTTATTTAGTTTCCTTTCCAGAGGCAAGACTATGAACAGGTTACACATTAATATCGTCAAACTGGACGGATTTTTTTTTATTTTGATTTAAAGCTTTCGTGACTGCAGGGACTCACATTCTTGTTTTTTTCGGTAAAGTCACCACGTAGAAGGGAAATAATAAAATAATAAAATAATAAAACAATTAAATTCTCACGACGTTTAGATTGCAACACAAGCAATCATCGTCAGGTGTGAAAACCACAACAAGAAAATTTTCTTGGTTTTTATTTTATTATTTCCCTTCTACGTGACTTTACCGTAAGAACCAAGAATATGAAACTGGGCGGAGTTAATATGGCTCCCATCCAAAGCGCTTGTGCCACAAATGAACCACGGATACCTCGCGCATCTCGTCAAGGAGCGTCAATCATCGTTACGCGACACTCCGCTCATCATCCTCGCGGTGGCTTTTGACGAACCATCGGACAAAGACGGTCACCGCCTCGCACGCTTTCAGATGTGCTTCTGTGGCCATCTGGAACGCTCTCCCTTACGACGTTAGGAAGCCGCTAGGAGGCTATGCACTTTTAAATCATCTGGATTGAAAATACATGTCTTTAGAACTGCTTTTTGTGCTTAGTTTGGTGTCCTTCCCCCACACCTCTGATTAGCGCAGTTGGCTCCGTATGATACAAAAGAAGTTCTACATACGTGCAAAGGAGTTAATATTTTTCTCACAGATGCAAATGGGGGTGGGTGGGGGGGGTGGCAATGTCAAATAGTAACTTCTGACGTGTTAACTAGTCATCACGTTGCTTAAATGAATAATGATTCATTTGGAACCAAATTACTCATAGCAACTATCTACGCGGAGAAGGCATGGTGGGCTCACACCAGTTCAAAGTAACAAATCACATCTGTTAAAAGTTACGTCAAACACGGAACCTTCTCAAATGGCGCACAGCGCCTTTAGCAGATTTGAACAAGCTCCGGGCCCCATACAACTTCAACGTTTGCTTATAGTTGCACAAAAACTATCGACTAATCTGACTCAAATAGTTTGGGACGGCGCACCAACCCGGAGACCACAGGTGACCCGGTCCAAGCCAAGAAGGGCACCTTCAAGGCGAGCGCCAGGCTGGCCACGGGGCGACCAGGCCTCTGTAACTTCGGCTGATGGAAAGGCGCTGCCATTTTCACCACAAAAATGTAACACTTGAACGGACCGGGAGAGTTTGTACCTGGAGCATCCCTGACAACAAACAACAAAACAATTGAGGCACCGGCACCCCCTTAGAGGTTACTTCGCTTTCAAATTGTTGTTAAACATTGACACCCGCGTGAACACGAGACTGGTGGTGGTGCCTTAAAAAATAACGTCACAAGGCGCGGTACTTAAAGAACCACCGTATGCGCAGGTCGCTGACCCCTGCACACGGGCATTCTCAGCACGTGCTGAGAACGAGCATTGGGCAAAGTGGGAAGTGGTGAAGTTAGGCGCCCTCAAGTCCAGCGGTGCCCTTATGAGGCCGTTACAGTCGTGACGATGGTGGCGTTATTGTTGGTGGTTGTTGATGGTGATAATCATGATCTTGTGGGAACGTTTTGGTTACCAACGCATGGAGGACAGACACAGGTTCCATTCCCTTTAATCCACCTCAGTCACACACAGCTCCCTCCTTCATCCACAGCTCCCTCCTTCATCCACAGCTCTCTCTGTCATCTACAGCTCGCTCCTTCATCCACAGCTCCCTCCTTCATCTACAGCTCACTCCTTTATCTACAGCTCGCTCCTTCATCCACAGCTCCCTCCTTCATCGACAGCTCTCTCCTTCATCCACAGCTCCCTCGTTCATCCACAGCTCTCTCCTTCATCTACAGCTCTCTCCTTCATCTATAGCTCGCTCCTTCATCCAAGCTCTCTCCTTCATCTACAGCTCGCTCCTTCATCCACAGCTTTCTCCTTCATCCACAGCTCCCTCCTTCATCCACAGCTCCTGCCTTCATCCACAGCTCCATCCTTCATCCACAGCTCTCTCTATATCCACAGCTCTCTCCATCTACAGCTTGCTCCTTCATCCACACCTCCCTCCTTCACCAACAGCTCTCTCCTTCATCAACAGCTATCTCCTTCATCTACAGCTCGCTCCTTAAACCACAGCTCCACCCTTCAAAAACAGCTCTCTCCTTCATCTACAGCTCTCTCCTTCATCTACAGTTCCCTTCTTCATCCACAGCTCTCTCCTATACCGTCACTCCTGCCGATGTCCCCTTTTCTCCCAACAGCCACAGCCCCGCCCCCCCCCCCCCCCCCCCCCCACCTGATCGATGTCTCCTCATCTCTATCCACCAATCCCCTATCTTCCTACTTCGGGGTTACTTCCGGTCAACCATGTGCAGTGAATGATATCAGCGTGTAGGGGGTAGAAAATGATGATGTTGTGGGGACCATTATATGAAGGACTGTTATAGTCTTCGTAATGGTGGTGGTGATGTTGATGTTATTGGTGATGATGGAGGTGAAGATGATGGTGCTTGTTGATGGAGGCCGTGATGATGCTAATAACGGGGATGTAATTGGTGACGTTGGTGGTGATAATGGTGATGATTATGGCATTAATGATGATGGTGGTGGCGGCGGTGATGTTGGTGATGTTTTCGATGATTGTGCAGCCGTTCACGTACCCCGATGAGGCGGGGTTACCGATCGGTGGTCCTGGATCATCGCCGCTGCTGCGCCTGGAGATTCACTACCACAACCCGGGCCGGCTGTCCGGTGCGAGCCAAACACACTCCACCGCACTCCATTACACTCCTGAGGGGGTGAGTAGGTGAGCTAGTGAGTGGGTGCGTGGGTGACTAGGTGAGTGAGTGACTAGGTGAGTATGTGACTAGGTGAGTGAGTGTGTGACTAGGTGAGTGTGTGACTAGGTGAGTGTGTGACTAGGTGAGTGAGTGACTAGGTGAGTGTGGGACTAGGTGAGTGAGTGACTAGGTGAGTGTGTGACAAGGTGAATGAGTGAGTGACTGACTAGGTGAGTGTGTGACTAGGTGAGTGAGTGACTAGTGAGTGTGTGACTAGGTGAGTGAGTGTGTGACTAGGTGAGTGTGTGACTAGGTGAGTGAGTGAGTGAGTAGGTGAGTGTGTGACTAGGTGAATGAGTGAGTGACTGACTAGGTGAGTGAGTGACCAGGTGAGTGAGTGACTAGGTGAGTGTGTGACTAAGTGAGTGAGTGACGAGGTGAGTGAGTGACTAGGTGAGTGAGTGAGTGAGTAGGTGAGTGTGTGACTAGGTGAATGAGTGAGTGACTGACTAGGTGAGTGTGTGACTAGGTGAGTGAGTGACTAGGTGAGTGTGTTACTAGGTGAGTGAGTGAGTGTGTGACTAGGTGAGTGTGTGACTAGGTAAGTGAGTGACTAGGTGAGTGTCTGACTAGGTGAGTGAGTGACTAGGTGAGTGTGGGACTAGGTGAGTGAGTGACTAGGTGAGTGTGTGACTAGGTGAATGAGTGAGTGACTGACCAGGTGAGCGTGTGACTAGGTGAGTGAGTGACTAGTGAGTGTGTGACTAGGTGAGTGAGTGAGTGTGTGACTAGGTGAGTGTGTGACTAGGTGAGTGAGTGACTAGGTGAGTGAGTGAGTGTGTGACTAGGTGAGTGTGTGACTCGGTGAGTGTGTGACTAGGTGGGTGTGTGACTAGGTGAGTGTGTGCCTAGGTAAGTGAGTGACTAGGTGAGTGACTAGGTGAGTGAGTGTGTGACTAGGTGAGTGAGGGACTAGGTGAGTGAGTGACTAGGTGAGTGAGTGACTAGGTGAGTGAGTGTGTGACTAGGTGAGTGAGTGACTAGGTGAGTGTGTGACTAGGCAAGTCAGTGACTAGGTGAGTGACTAGGTGAGTGACTAGGTGAGTGAGTGACTAGGTGAGTGTGTGACTAGTTGAGTGAGTGACTAGGTGAGTGAGGGACTAGGTGAGTGTTTGACTAGGTGAGTGAGTGACTAGGTGAGTGAGTGACTAGGTGAGTGAGTGAGTGTGTGACTAGGTGAGTGACTAGGTGAGTGAGTGACTAGGTGAGTGTGTGACTAGGTGAATGAGTGACTAGGTGAGTGAGTGTGTGACTAGGTGAGTGAGTGACTAGGTGAGTGAGTGACTAGGTGAGTGAGTGAGTGTGCGACTAGGTGAGTGAGTGACTAGGTGAGTGAGTAACTAGGTGAGTGTGTGATTAGGTGAGTGAGTGACTAGCTGAGTGAGTGTGTGAATAGGTGAGTGTGTGACTAGGTGAGTAAGTGACTAGGTGAGTGAGTGAGTGTGTGACTAGGTGAGTGTTTGACTAGGTGAGTGAGTGACTAGATGAGTGAGTGACTAGGTGAGTTAGTGAGTGACTAGGTGAGTGAGTGAGTGACTAGGTGAGTGAGTGACTAGGTGAGTGTGTGACTAGGTGAGTGAGTGACTAGATGAGTGAGTGACTAGGTGAGTGAGTGAGTGAGTGAGTGACTAGGTGTGTAAGTGTGTGACTAGGTGAGTGAGTGACTAGGTGAGTGTGTGACTAGGTGAGTGAGTGACTAGGTGAGTGACTAGGTGAGTGAGTGACTAGGTGAGTGAGTGACTAGGTAAGTGAGTGACTAGGTGAGTGACTAGGTGAGTGAGTGTGTGACTAGGTGAGTGAGGGACTAGGTGAGTGAGTGACTAGGTGAGTGAGTGACTAGGTGAGTGAGTGTGTGACTAGGTGAGTGAGTGACTAGGTGAGTGTGTGACTAGGCAAGTCAGTGACTAGGTGAGTGACTAGGTGAGTGACTAGGTGAGTGAGTGACTAGGTGAGTGTGTGACTAGTTGAGTGAGTGACTAGGTGAGTGAGGGACTAGGTGAGTGTTTGACTAGGTGAGTGAGTGACTAGGTGAGTGAGTGACTAGGTGAGTGAGTGAGTGTGTGACTAGGTGAGTGACTAGGTGAGTGAGTGACTAGGTGAGTGTGTGACTAGGTGAATGAGTGACTAGGTGAGTGAGTGTGTGACTAGGTGAGTGAGTGACTAGGTGAGTGAGTGACTAGGTGAGTGAGTGAGTGTGCGACTAGGTGAGTGAGTGACTAGGTGAGTGAGTGACTAGGTGAGTGTGTGATTAGGTGAGTGAGTGACTAGCTGAGTGAGTGTGTGAATAGGTGAGTGTGTGACTAGGTGAGTAAGTGACTAGGTGAGTGAGTGAGTGTGTGACTAGGTGAGTGTTTGACTAGGTGAGTGAGTGACTAGATGAGTGAGTGACTAGGTGAGTTAGTGAGTGACTAGGTGAGTGAGTGAGTGACTAGGTGAGTGAGTGACTAGGTGAGTGTGTTACTAGGTGAGTGAGTGACTAGATGAGTGAGTGACTAGGTGAGTGAGTGAGTGAGTGACTAGGTGAGTAAGTGTGTGACTAGGTGAGTGAGTGACTAGGTGAGTGTGTGACTAGGTGAGTGAGTGACTAGGTGAGTGACTAGGTGAGTGAGTGACTAGGTGAGTGAGTGACTAGGTGAGTGTGTGACTAGGTGAGTGAGTGAGTGAGTGACTAGGTGAGTGTGTGACTAGGTGAGTGAGTGACTAGGTGAGTGAGTGAGTGAGTGACTAGATGAGTGAGTGACTAGGTGAGTGAGTGACTAGGTGAGTGAGTGACTCGGTGAGTGAGTGACTAGGTGAGTGAGTAAGTGTGTGACTAGGTGAGTGAGTGACTAGGTGAGTGAGTGACTAGGTGAGTGTGTGACTAGGTGAGTGAGTGACTAGGTGAATGTGTGACTAGGTGAGTGAGTGACTAGGTGAGTGACTAGGTGAGTGTGTGACTAGGTGAGTGAGTGACTAGATGAGTGAGTGACTAGATGAGTGAGTGAGTGTGTGACTAGGTGAGTGAGTGACTAGGTAAGTGAGTGACTAGGTAAGTGTGTGACTAGGTGAGTGAGTGACTAGGTGAGTGAGTGACTAGGTGAGTGAGTGTGTGACTAGGTGAGTGTGTGACTAGGTGAGTGAGTGACTAGGTGAGTGTGTGACTAGGTGAGTGAGTGACTAGATGAGTGAGTGACTAGGTGAGTGAGTGAGTGAGTGACTAGGTGAGTAAGTGTGTGACTAGGTGAGTGAGTGACTAGGTGAGTGTGTGACTAGGTGACTGAGTGACTAGGTGAGTGACTAGGTGAGTGAGTGACTAGGTGAGTGAGTGACTAGGTGAGTGTGTGACTAGGTGAGTGAGTGAGTGAGTGACTAGGTGAGTGAGTGACTAGGTGAGTGAGTGACTAGGTGAGTGAGTGACTAGGTGAGTGAGTGACTCGGTGAGTGAGTAAGTGTGTGACTAGGTGAGTGAGTGACTAGGTGAGTGAGTGACTAGGTGAGTGAGTGACTAGGTGAGTGTGTGACTAGGTGAATGAGTGACTAAGTGAGTGTGTGACTAGGTGAGTGAGTGACTAGATGAGTGAGTGACTAGATGAGTGAGTGAGTGTGTGACTAGGTGAGTGAGTGACTAGGTAAGTGAGTGACTAGGTAAGTGTGTGACTAGGTGAGTGAGTGACTAGGTGAGTGAGTGACTAGGTGAGTGAGTGTGTGATTAGGTGAGTGTGTGACTAGGTGAGTGAGTGACTAGGTGAGTGAGTGTGTGACTAGGTGAGTGTGTGACTAGGTGAGTGAGTGACTAGGTGAGTGTGTGACTAGGTGAGTGAGTGACTAGGTGAGTGAGTGACTGACTAGATGAGTGAGTGACTAGGTGAGTGAGTGACTATGTAAGTGTGTGACTAGGTGAGTGAGTGAGTGACTAGGTGAGTGTGTGACTAGGTGAGTGAGTGACTAGGTGAATGAGTGTGTGACTAGGTGAGTGAGTGACTAGGTTAGTGAGTGACTAGGTAAGTGTGTGACTAGGTGAGTGAGTGACTAGGTGAGTGACTAGGTGAGTGAGTGACTAGGTGAGTGAGTGAGTGACTAGGTGAGTAAGTGACTAGGTGAGTGACTAGGTGAGTGACTAGGTGAGTGAGTGACTAGATGAGTGAGTGAGTGACTAGGTGACTGAGTGACTAGGTGAGTGACTAGGTGAGTGAGTGACTAGGTGAGTGAGTGAGTGAGTGACTAGGTGAGTGAGTGAGTGACTATGTAAGTGAGGGAGTGTGTGACTAGGTGAGTGTGTGACTAGGTGAGTGAGTGAGTGAGTAACTAGGTGAGTAAGTGACTAGTTGTGTGAGTGACTAGGTGAGTGAGTGAGTGACTAGGTGAGTGTGTGACTAGGTGAGTGAGTGACTAGGTGAGTGACTAAGTGAGTGAGTGACTAGGTGAGTGAGTGACTAGGTGAGTAAGTGACTAGGTTAGTGACTAGGTGAGTGACTAGGTGCGTGAGTGAGTGAGTGACTAGGTGACTGAGTGACTAGGTGAGTCACTAGGTGAGTGAGTGACTAGGTGAATGAGTGAGTGACTAGGTGAGTGAGTGAGTGACTATGTAAGTGAGGGAGTGTGTGACTAGGTGAGTGTGTGACTAGGTGAGTGAGTGAGTGACTAGGTGAGTAAGTGACTAGGTGAGTGAGTGACTAGGTGAGTGAGCGGTGGTGTGTTTGCGGGCAGGGCGCGTGGACAGCTCCGGCATGCGCCTGCACTACACGGAGCATCTCCGTGCCAACGACGCCGCCGTCATGGAGCTGGGCCTCGTCTACTCGGCCCAAATGGCCGTGCCGCCCGCTCAGCGCCACTTTCAGCTCACCGGATACTGCCCCTCGGGGTGCACGCGCCAGGCGAGGGGGGGGGGAGAGAGTGAAGTGGGGTCATGGGGGGTCACGAGGAGAGAGTGAAGTGGGGCCACGGGGGGTCACGGGGGGTCACGGGGAGAGAGTGAGGTAGGGTCACGGGGAGAGAGTGAAGTGGGGTCACGGGGAGAGAGTGAAGTGGGGTCACGGAGAGAAAGTGAAGTGGGGTCACGGGGGGTCACGGGGAGAGAGTGTAGTGGGGTCACGTGGCATCACGGGGAGAGAGTGAAGTGGGGTCACGGGGGGGTCACGGGAAGAGAGTGAAGTGGGGTCACGGGGGGTCACGGGAAGAGAGTGAAGTGGGGTCACGGGGGTCACGGGGGGGTCACGAGGAGAGAGTGTAGTGGGGTCACGGGGGTCACGGGGGGGTCACGGGAAGAAAGTGAAGTGGGGTCACGAGGGGTCACGGGGAGAGAGTGTAGTGGGGTCACGGGGGGTCACGGGGAGAGTGTGAAGTGGGGTCACGAGGGGTCACGGGGAGAGAGTGAAGTGGGGTCACGAGGGGTCACGGGGAGAGAGTAAAATTGGGTCACAGGGGGTCACGGGGAGAGAGTGTAGTGGGGTCACGAGGAGTCACGGGGAGAGAGTGTAGTGGGGTCACAGGGGGTCACGGGGAGAGAGTGTAGTGGGGTCACGAGGGGTCACGGGGAGAGAGTGTAGTGGGGTCACAGGGGGTCATGGGGAGAGAGTAAAGTGGGTTCACGGGGAGAGAGTGTAGTGGGGTCACGTGGGGTCACGGGGAGAGAGTGTAGTGGGGTCACGAGGGGTCACGGGGAGAGAGTGAAGTGGGGTCACGAGGGGTCACGGGGAGAGTGTGAAGTGGGGTCACGGGGAGAGAGTGAAGTGGGGTCACGGGGGTTCACGGGGAGAGAGTGAAGTGGAGTCACGGGGGGTCATGGGGAGAGAGTGAAGTGGGGTCACAGGTGGTCACGGGGTGAGAGAGACGCGGGGTCACGGGGGGTCACGGAGAGAGAGAGACGCGGGGTCACGGAGACACGAGGGCACAGCGAGGGAGTCTTGAGCTAGGGACGCATACATGTGAACCCCTTATCAGTGCGCTGCCTTAGTACAGACCAATTCACGCCTCATTGGTCACCCCCGTGCCCCTCATACATCTCAACGTTCCTGCTGCAAAGTCCCATCACAAGGGATAAACACAAACACATATTTTGTGTTTGCCCGTACTGAAACGGCTGTTACGCCGTACGGACCTGCAGACTGAAATGTCCCTTGCACGAGAACACGTCGGGTAGAAAACCGCGTGGGGTTGACGCGGTGCATGGTTGAGCCTCGCGGTGGCCCCCTCTTCTTGGCGTGACGGTGGCCCCCCTCTTCGCGTGGCGGCTTCCCCGCAGGCGCTGCCACGTGGCGGGGTGCACGTGTTCGCCAGCCAGCTCCACACGCACCTGGCGGGCGTGGCGGTGAGCACGTGGCTCCTGCGCAACGGCACCGGCGAGCCGCGCGTCCTCAACGCGGACCCCCACTTCAGCGCCAGCCTGCAGGTGCCCGCACACAACCCCAGGCACGCTGCCGAGATAATAGCCACAGAGATCGGGGCTAGGTGGATGAGGGGCAGGGCTAAGGGATGAGGGGCAGGGCTAGGGGATGAGGGGCAGGGCTAGGGGATTAGGAGCAGGGCTAGGGGATGAGGGGCAGGGCTAGGGGATTAGGAGCAGGGCTAGGGGCTGAGGGGCAGGGCTAGGGGATTAGGGGCAGGGCTAGGGGATGACGGGCAGGGCTAGGGGATGAGGGGCAGGGCTAGGGGCAGGGCTAGGGGATGAGGGGCAGGGCTAGGGGCAGAGGAGCAGGGCTAGGGGCTGACGGGCAGGGCTAGGGGATGAGGGGCAGGGCTAGGGGCAGGGCTAGGGGATGAGGGGCAGGGCTAGGGGCAGGGCTAGGGGATGAGGGGCAGGGCGAGGGGCAGGCTCTAAACCTTACTCAATGACCTCTGACCCTATTCCCTTCCCAGGAGATCCGACCCCTGGCCCCACCGCTACTCGTGCTGCCGGTGAGTGACGTCACCACTCACTCCCTCCTCACCACTCACCCCCTCCTCACCCCTCACCCCCTCCTCACCCCTCACTCCCTCCTCACCACTCACTCCCTCCTCACCACTCTCCCTCCTCACCACTCACTCCCTCCTCACCCCTCACTCCCTCCTCACCACTCACTCCCTCCTCACCACTCACTCCCTCCTCACCCCTCACTCCCTCCTCACCACTCACTCCCTCCTCACCACTCACCCCCTCCTCACCCCTCACTCCCTCCTCACCACTCACTCCCTCCTCACCCCTCACTCCCTCCTCACCCCTCACTCACCACCCGCTACATAACCCCCCGCCTCCTCCTCCTCACCCTTCACACTCACCCGTCACCCTTAACTCCTCACCTCTCAGTGCCTCGCTCACCATGCGCCCACGTGGCCCAGTGCTCACCGACTCCTCACCCCCCCCCCTCACCGCGTGCGCTGACACAGGGCGATCTGCTGGTCACGACGTGCACCTACAACACGGAGGACAGGCGCTCGGTGACCGTGGTGAGCGGAGACTCCTCACCTCGCTCGCTCGCGCACGCGTGCCTGTGTGTGACACGTGTGTGTGTGTGACGTGCGTGTGTGACGTGTGTGTGAGTGCCACGTGTGTGTGACACGTGTGCGTGTGTGTGACGTGCGTGTGTGACGTGTGTGTGAGTGCCACGTGTGTGTGACACGTGTGCGTGTGTGACGTGCGTGTGTGACGTGCGTGTGTGTGACGTGTGTGTGTGTGTGACACGTGTGTGTGTGAGACACGTGTGTGTGTGTGACACGCGTGTGTGTGTGTGACACGTGTGTGTGTGACACGTGTGTGTGTGACGTGCGTGTGTGACGTGTGTGAGTCCTACGTGTGTGTGTGTGATACGTTTGCGTGTGTGACACGTTTGCGTGTGTGACACGCGTGCGTGTGTGACGTGCGTGTGTGTGACGTGTGTGTGTGACACGTGTGTGTGACCTTTGTGTGTGACGTATGTGTGTGTGACGTGCGTGTGACGTGCGTGTGACGTGTGTGTGTGTGTGACACGTGTGTGTGTGTGTGACGTGCGTGTGACGTGTGTGTGAGTGCCACGTGTGTGACACGCGTGCGTGTGTGACGTGCGTGCGTGACGTGCGTGTGTGTGTAACGTGTGTGTGACGTGTGTGTGTGTGACGCGTGTGACACGAGTGTGTGTGTGTGACGCGCGTCCGTGTGTGACACGTGTGTGTGTGTGACACGTGTGTGTGTGTGACGCTACGTACGTGGGTGACACGTGTGTGTGTGTGACACGTGTGTGTGTGTGTGACGCTACGTCCGTGGGTGACACGTGTGTGTGTGTGTGTGTGACACGTGTGTGTGTGTGACACGTGTGTCCTTGCCCCCCCGCCCCGTGGCAGGGCGGGCTGTCCATCGAGCAGGAGATGTGCGTCAACTACGTGCACTACTACCCGCCCTCGCCACTCGAGCTGTGCAAGAGCGACGTCAGCGGCCGCCCCCTCGCCGCTTTCTTCTCCTTCCTCGAGCGGTGGGGGGCCGGGGGGGGGGACGAGGGGAGAACACGAGGGGGGGGGCACAGGGGGGGTGACACGAGGGGGGTAACGAGGGAGGGGCACATGGGGAGGGGGGGCACGGGGGGGGGGGGACACGAGGGGGGTACACGAGGGGCAACTCTGGCATGCGAGGGGGAAACGCGAGGTCACGCGGCTGGCGACACACAAGGGGGACGGCACCACGTGGATGGTGGTGGTGCTCACTAACAGCACTTGCCCCAATAGTCTCTGAAGACTATACGGGGGGCCTTTGTCTTTGTGGTGTGGTAGTAAGGGTTCTGGTGGTAGGTGCGTGTGTATGTAAGGGTGCACGTGGTAGGTGTGTGTGTGTATGTAAGGGTGCACGTGGTAGGTGTGTGTGTATGTAAGGGTGCACGTGGTAGGTGTGTGTGTATGTAAGTGTGCACGTGGTAGGTGTGTGTGTATGTAAGGGTGCACGTGACAGGTGTGTGTGTATGTAAGGGTGCACGTGGTAGGTGTGTGTGTATGTAAGTGTGCACGTGGCAGGTGTGTGCGTATGTAAGGGTGCACGTGGCAGGTGCGTGTGTATGTAAGGGTGCACGTGGTAGGTGTGTGTGTGTATGTAAGGGTGCACGTGGCAGGTGTGTGTGTGTGTGTATGTAAGGGTGCACGTGGTAGGTGTGTGTGTGTATGTAAGGGTGCACGTGGTAGGTGTGTGTGTATGTAAGGGTGCACGTGGTAGGTGTGTGTATGTAAGGGTGCACGTGACAGGTGTGTGTATCTAAGGGTGCACGTGGTAGGTGTGTGTGTGTATGTAATGGTGCACGTGGTAGGTGTGTGTGTGTGTATGTAAGGGTGCACGTGGTAGGTGTGTGTATGTAAGGGTGCACGTGACAGGTGTGTGTATCTAAGGGTGCACGTGGTAGGTGTGTGTGTGTGTATGTAATGGTGCACGTGGTAGGTGTGTGTGTGTATGTAAGGGTGCACGTGGTAGGTGTGTGTGTGTATGTAAGGGTGCACGTGGTAGGTGTGTGTGTATGTAAGGGTGCACGTGGTAGGTGTGTGTGTGTATGTAAGGGTGCACGTGGTAGGTGTGTGTGTATGTAATGGTGCACGTGGTAGGTGCGTGTGTGTGTATGTAAGGGTGCACGTGACAGGTGTGTGTATGTAAGGGTGCACGTGGTAGGTGTGTGTGTGTGTATGTAAGGGTGCGCGTGGCAGGTGTGTGTGTGTATGTAAGGGTGCGCGTGGCAGGTGTGTGTGTATGTAAGTGTGCACGTGACAGCTGCGTGTGTATGTAAGGGTGCGCGTGGCAGGTGCGTGTGTGTGTATGTAAGGGTGCACGTGGCAGGAGAGCGGTGTGTGTATGTAAGGGTGCGCGTGGCAGGAGAGCGGTGTGTGTGTGTGTATCGGGGGTGTGGGAAGAGTGGGGGGGAGGGCAGCAGGCTGAGTGTCACCCCCCTCCCCCCACCACCACCACCCCCCCCCCCCCCCCCCAGCAGTAGGGGCCACTTCCGCACGCGTGCGGATGACCCCGTCTCCGAGCGCTACTCCCGCGTGGCGTGGGACCGCGACGCCTCCGCTGCCCTGCTTCTCGCCGCTCTCTACGCCCAGGCCCCCATCGACCTGCACTGCAACACCTCCGCACGCCAGCGCATCCCGGTCAGTAGCGGCACCAGTGCCCGATTGATCATCGCGGCACAAGCGGGTTGCGTATGCTAGGGGGCCCCCGCACTTTCGAGGGCCCCGCGCGTGAAATGCTTTCGAACTGTCAATTCCGGTTCAGTGATTCCGCACTTGCTCTATTACTATAGTGCTGTTATACCGCCCTCGACTTTTTAGGTTAGCGATTTATCGTATTATTCGGCTGTATAGCAAATGAAAAAAATACAATGACTTTGCTATGCAGGTAAAAAAAAAATTGTGTTTTAATATTTACGTTTTTTTTTTATTTAGGGGCCCTTTTATAACAACATGTGCTACAGGCCCTGCAACTAAGCTTCATCCGGCACTGAGCGGCACCCCCCCTCTCCCCGTTCTGCCCCCCCTCCCCCACCAGACCCAGCGGTGGGGGGGGGGGGGTTACTCAAAAAATGTTTTGTTAATAACCAGGTAAGGCCCACTGAACCTGTGTAGCTCCTTATCAGATGCGACCTGGCTATCACCAAGCATAGCTTGACAAAGTGGTTCATCATCATCATCATCACGTGGGCATTTATAGCAGCAGCAGCAGCAGCAGCCAAATACTACTCCTGGACGGGTGACGTTGATCCTAAATGTGGCGTGAAAAACCGGAGAAAGAGACTCAAACTCGAAATATAAACTATTTTTTTAAAAGACGACTATTTTTAATCTTGCCTGGTAAGGCCCCGCTAAGCTCTTCCTCAAAAGCGACCCGGCCGTCGAAACATGATCACTCAACCAAGTGGCTTCATCGTCGTCGTCGTCGTCGTCGCAAAGGGGGCAGCCATAGAGCCCGCCGCATGCGGCTCCGGATCCGCAGGTTGCCGACCACTGCCCTGGAGAACAGAGGCCGCAGTAGCAACGCCCCGATCCACGAACACGAGGGAGGAGACATCATCACGGCGATGACACTCTCGCTGGCTCCTGGCTTGACCCCGCCTGAATGTGAGAGCTGTCAGTGGGTTTGCTCTGCCATCTGCATCAAAGCCCTGCGGCAAAAAGAAGAAGGCGACGCTTAGACAAAACCACCACGAGGGGGCTCCACGGGACGCAGGCCGCCTCCCCCCATTGGCCTAGCCCAGTGTGGGTCTCAGAGAGTGGCCGGCGACGGTCCCTCCAGGTCGCCCCCCATTGGCCTAGCCCAGTGTGGGTCTCAGAGAGTGGCCGGTGACAGTCCCTCCAGGTCGCCCCCCATTGGCCTAGCACAGTGTGGGTCTCAGAGAGTGGCCGGCGACAGTCCCTCCAGGTCGCCCCCCTATTGGCCTAGCCCAGTGTGGGTCTCAGAGAGTGGCCGGCGACGGTCCCTCCAGATCGCCCCCCATTGGCCTAGCCCAGTGTGGGCCTCAGACAGTGGCCTGTGACAGTCCCTCCAGGTCGCCCCCCGCATTGGCCTAGCCCAGTGTGGGTCTCAGAGAGTGGCCGGTGACAGTCCCTCCAGGTCGCCCCCCATTGGCCTAGCCCAGTGTGGGTCTCAGAGAGTGGCCGGCGACGGTCCCTCCAGGTCGCCCCCCATTGGCCTAGCCCAGTGTGGGTCTCAGAGAGTAGCCTGTGACAGTCCCTCCAGGTCGCTCCCCATTGGCCTAGCCCAGTGTGGGTCTCAGAGAGTGGCCGGCGACAGTCCCTCCAGGTCGCCCCCCATTGGCCTAGCCCAGTGTGGGTCTCAGAGAGTGGCCTGTTACAGTCCCTCCAGGTCGCCCCCCCATTGGCCTAGCCCAGTGTGGGTCTCAGAGAGTGGCCCGTGACGGTCCCCTCCAGGTCGCCCCCCATTGGCCTAGCCCAGTGTGGGTCTCAGAGAGTGGCCGTGACGGTCCCCTCCAGGTCGCCCCCCATTGGCCTAGCCCAGTGTGGGTCTCAGAGAGTGGCCTATGACAGTCCCTCCAGGTCGCCCCCCATTGGCCTAGCCCAGTGTGGGTCTCAGAGAGTGGCCTGTGACAGTCCCTCCAGGTCGCCCCCCATTGGCCTAGCCCAGTGTGGGTCTCAGAGAGTGGCCGGCGACAGTCCCTCCAGGTCGCCCCCCCATTGGCCTAGCCCAGTGTGGGTCTCAGAGAGTGGCCGGCGACAGTCCCCTCCAGGTCGCCCCCATTGGCCTAGCCCAGTGTGGGTCTCAGAGAGTGGCCGGCGACAGTCCCTCCCCGTTTCTCCCGCAGAGGCTGTGACTCAAGCGCAGGTTGATCCAGAAACAACGACATTCGTTAGAATACCTTTGTAGTTCCGTGCGTTATTTAATCCTTTTGCTCGTGATGTGTTATTTCAAAATGAGGTTAAATGTAAACGTATAATCAGAGCATGGTTTGTTTGCATATTTTCGCCACAACTACGAATGCAGAATTGACGATCCCTTTCAATAGGCGTGTGTCTTTTTGGTCTGTTTGAACATCTTATTGCCAGAAATGGTAAAACCTATACCTATCGTCTCTTGTTTTGATATTAGCAAAAAGGTCCTGTAGATTTAGGTAAACTACCCTAACCCTTAGATGTAAATGCCTCCCCTAAAAGCAAACCTCATAGCTGTGTAAAAAAGAAACATATCTATACATTTTATGTTACGGCAATATGTGTAATTTTGCATTGCATTTAGAGAGAGGAGCGAATGCGTTTTGTTATGGGGGGGGGGGGGGGTGGGGGGGGTTTGGGGGGGGGGAGGAGGAGTGGGGGGCTGGGTGGTCCGCGTAAAGGTTTTTATCTGGCCCAGTGGTCCGTAGGCCCAACAAGACTTTGAGAACCACCGGCCTAGAGCATCACGTGGCGGCTAGAACCACCGTGAGACACCCGTGTGCGCTCGTGCTGTCCGTCCCCCCCCCCGCACCCACGTCCCAGGCCCCCTGGCAAGAGCAACCCCTACCCGAGTGGAGCCCCCCGCCCGAGCCGTCCCGACACTGCCCGGCCTCCGAGGACTCGTCTGCGACGGCTCCGCCAGGCTTGGCGCGGCCGCTGTGCGCCGGCTGAACGATCGCCCCTCCGCGCTCTCGCCCCCTCCAGATCCGCCGCGGTGGCTATGAGATGTTGACTCCCTCGCCTGGTATGCAGGAGGTGGTGGGTTCGATCCCGACCCCTGACGCCTGCTGCTGCTGTATATTTGGAGTTTGTGTGTCTCTCTCTCATCATCATCACGGTGGCTAGGAGATGTTAACTTTCCTCGCCTGGTACGCAGGAGGTGGTGGGTTCGATCCCGACCCTTGACGCCTGCTGCTGCTGTATATTTGGAGTTTGTGTGTCTCTCTCTCTCATCATCATCACGGTGGCTAGGAGATGTTAACTCCCTCGCCTGGTACGCAGAAGGTGGTGGGTTCGATCCCGACCCTTGACGCCTGCTGCTGCTGTATATTTGGAGTTTGTGTGTGTGTCTCTCTCTCTCTCACTCTCTTCCCGTGGTGGTTGCGTTGGATGTTTCTCCGGGTCCTCCGGTTTCTTCTGCCACATTTGTAATCGTCACGCGTTTAGAGTATTTGGCTGCTATAAAGTTCCACGTGATGATGATGAGCCACTTCGTTGAGCTATCGTTTGCAATCGCCAGGGCACTTATGAAAAAGAGCCGGGCAGATGATCGTCGCCGGTGTTGGCCGTGAGCAGGAATCGAACTCGGGTGTCCGGATTCGTAGCGCAGCGTAGCGCTGACCGCCTACACCGCCGCTCATTTGCCTTCGGTCTTAACGACGGCAAAGATCCCCCGTGTAGCCTGTAACAGACTGTTGGGGCAAGTGCTGTTAGCGAGCACCTATGAAGGCCGGCACGGCACACGAGGGGGTGGGATGGCCAACACCACGCCCGGCCGCCTTTGTCTCCCCAGTGGCGATGTTTACTACACACCGCAACCAGGCACTCATTTGAGGCTGAGTCGATAATCGTCAGCGGTGTTGGCCGTGAGCGGCAATGGAACCCGGGTGGCCAGGTTCGCAGCGCAGCGTAGCGCTAACCGCTGCACCGCCACTCCCCACTTCGTCTTAAGAGTCACACAAACACGAGCGAATGGAACAAGACGAGGCACACAGGAAGTTCTCTACAGGTGCAAGGGAGCTCCGTGTTTTGGTCTCAAAGGGCATTGTAAGGAGGGGGAGTGAAGGGATGGACGCTGGCTGTGGACACGTGAGGTGGTCCTGCTAAGGGAACTTCATATTTGGTTTGAGCAACGTAGCACGCTTGACAGAGCCTTGGGATGGGATGGGGCGAGGGGGTGGGGGGGAGTCGATCCCAGCGGATTCCATTCCCAATTCAATCTTGACAAGTTTCAGAGTCGATTTTAACTCTGGGCGCGAAATCAGAATCAGAATCTTTGTTCGTACCGGAGGAACCCGGTGAGCTATAAAGCTCTTAATTAGAGATGTCCAGCAGGGGCACGGGCTCAGAACGTTACAAGAAACGAATGCAACACAAACAAACGATAGGAGTGCAATGGTACAAGCAAGGTGAGCAAATCACAGGTAAAAAAAAAACTTTCTACACAAACTATTTTAAAAAGAATCTTGTTTTGAGGCTTTCGTGACTGCAGGAATCCATAATTCTGTGGTTTCTTTCGGTAAATTCACGTGGAATAATAATAGGGGTTTTCCCCTTTTTTTTCTGGCAACAAAACTGAAACCTTTTTTTGGACGAGGATTCATGTCTGCATTAACCACAATACCTGCAGCCAAAATGCAAACAAAAAACATACTATGACAATATATGTGGCATTGTCCTTGAAACTGGTTTTGGTCCACACCAAGGGACGGCTTTCTTTTGAGCCTCGACCCAATTGGTGCTCGACCAGATGACGCCAAAAGGCGTACATTTTGGTACTGGCAAAGGAGGTCTAATGATGTAAAAGTCACGTGGGTTAGAAAAATGTGTAATAGATCACGAAGTTTCGGTCGCAACGAAAGCGATCGTCGTCAGGTGTGAAAGAAACACAGTCCTCCCGACGACGGTTGCTTGTGTTGCGATCGAAAAGCCGCGATCTATAATTGTTTCGAAACCTACGCGACTTTTTCTCCCGAACGCAGATGGACTCGTCCATCTGAACAAACTGTCAAATCGCTCTCCGTGGCGCAAACGTTTTAAAATAAATAAATAAATTGATGCAAACCGCCACTTCTTTGAAATGTTTCTTGCCGTTGGTTTTCACACCTGATGACGATTGCTGCTTGTGTTGCAGTCGAAACGTCGTGAGAATTTTATTGTTTTGTATTTTTATTATTTTATTGCTTTCCCTTCAACGTGACTTTACCGAAAGAACCAAGAATATGAATCACTGCAGTCACGAAAGCTTTCAATCAAAATTTAGACCACAGAGTATTTTAAAAAGACGACTAATTTTTTTTTATCTTACCCGGTAAATGCCCCACTGAGCTGCGCAGATCTTTCTTTCTGAAGCGACCCCGGCCCATGAAAAAAATGATAGCGGCTCAACGAAAGTGGCTTCACCGTCATCGTCACGTGGAAATGTCTTAGCAGTTTCAGTCTCATTTATTTTGGTATAGCCCTGTGAGCCATTCGGCTCTTGAATCGGGTGCAACCGCAACAAACAAAAACACGAACAAGAAAAACATCTTAAAGTGATTATGTGACTGTGACTGTGCAAACAGAAAATCCAGGAAAAAAAAAACATCAAAATATTCCTGAAATAGCACCGTACACCAACGCTGTTTGCAAAAAATCCCAGTGGGATGCAAGTCAAACAACAACAACAACAACCACAAGACAACTTAGATTAAGGCCATCAGTCTAACTCCGTACTACAACAAACAAACATGGCCAAACCAAAAAACGTTTTCGGAATCACCAAAATGAAGCCATAAATGCAGTGTAACAGTGATCATAGGGGTTGTGACCGATGTTTTAACAATAAACTACATAAATAACATGTAACACCAAACCCTAGAGCCATAGCGGGCTGCATGAGTCATTCCACAACAACAGGAGCATCAGCCAAACGCTCTGAACGTGGAGTCGACTCCCAACTCCCACGATCGATTCGAAACCTTGGAATCTAAATCATTTTTAATCAATAAAAAAAATTACGCATTTATTTAATTCACGGCGGTTATTTAGGTCAACGTGACTGTACTACAATTTGTAGCTTGAGACACTGGAATTAGGGGCGATTATTAATGAGTTAGTTATTTGGTGTGAATTGCTTTTATTGATTGGTTTGTTTTTAATAAAGTACATATTTGCGTGTCAATTGTGATTATTGGTTATTATTTTAATACTAGCCTTCGTTATTGTCGTGTCTATTACATTCATTTAACGTAGGCCTACCCAAATAATTTGGTGACCACAATATATTCGTAACCTTCAGTAAATGTTTGTGTGTCTCTACATAGATTGTTTTTATCACTTAACCTTTGAATTCTTCATGCTGCATGCATCCAGCAGGAATAGAGTAAGTCGTCGTTTAACACGCTGCGGTGGCTAGGAGATGTTAACTACCTCGCCTGGTATACAGGAGGTCGTGGGTTCGATCCCGACCCTGACGCCTGCTGCTGCTGTATATTTGGAGTTTGCGTGTCTCTCTCTCTTCATCACGGTGGCTAGGAGATGTTAACTACCTCGCCTGGTATACAGGAGGTCGTGGGTTCGATCCCGACCCTGACGCCTACTGCTGCTGTATATTTGGAGTTTGCGTGTCTCTCTCTCCCATCATCATCACGGTGGCTAGGAGATGTTAACTACCTCGCCTGGTATACAGGAGGTCGTGGGTTCGATCTCGACCCTGACGCCTGCTGCTGCTGTATATTTGGAGTTTGCGTGTCTCTCTCTCTCTTCATCACAGTGGCTAGGAGATGTTAACTACCTCGCCTGGTATACAGGAGGTCGTGGGTTCGATCCCGACCCTGACGCCTGCTGCTGCTGTATATTTGGAGTTTGCGTGTCTCTCTCTCATCATCACGGTGGCTAGATGTTAACTACCTCGCCTTGTATACAGGAGGTCGTGGGTTCGATCCCGACCCTGACGTCTACTGCTGCTGTATATTTGGAGTTTGCGTGTCTCTCTCTCTTCATCACGGTGGCTAGGAGATGTTAACTACCTCGCCTGGTATACAGGAGGTCGTGGGTTCGATCCCGACCCTGACGCCCACTGCTGCTGTATATTTGGAGTTTGCGTGTCTCTCTCTCTCATCATCACGGTGGCTAGGAGATGTTAACTACCTCGCCTGGTATACAGGAGGTCGTGGGTTCGATCCCGACCCTGACGCCTACTGCTGCTGTATATTTGGAGTTTGCGTGTCTCTCTCATCACGGTGGCTAGGATATGTTAACTACCTCGCCTGGTATACAGGAGGTCGTGGGTTCGATCCCGACCCTGACGCCTACTGCTGCTGTATATTTGGAGTTTGCGTGTCTCTCTCTCTCATCATCACGGTGGCTAGGATATGTTAACTACCTCACCTGGTATACAGGTGGTCGTGGGTTCGATCCCGACCCTGACGCCTACTGCTGCTGTATATTTGGAGTTTGCGTGTCTCTCTCTCTCATCATCACGGTGGCTAGGAGATGTTAACTACCTCGCCTGGTATACAGGAGGTCGTGGGTTCGATCTGGACCCTGACGTCTACTGCTGCTGTATATTTGGAGTTTGCGTCTCTCTCTCTCATCATCAGTTAACTACCTCGCCTGGTGTACAGGAGGTCGTGGGTTCGATCCCGACCCTGACGCCTACTGCTGTATATTTAGAGTTTGCGTGTCTCTCTCATCATCATCACGGTGGCTAGATGTTAACTACCTCGCATGGTATACAGGAGGTCGTGGGTTCGATCCCGACCCTGACGCATACTGCTTTATATTTAGAGGTTGCGTGTCTCTCTCTCTCCCTGTGGCCGCGTGGATTTTTCTCTGGGTCCTCCGGTTTTCCCCTCCACATTTAGAATCAGTGGGGCCTTACCTAGCAAAAATAAACAAACAAAAATATGCCTTCCTGAAAATTGACGCGTTAAGCGGAAGCAATTTTGCCCGTAAATAATGTCGTAACGATCGAGTTTTGGCGAGATGCGATGGAGCACGCCTGCCAGCGTGCCGCTCCGCGTCATCGTGTCCGTGTCACTCCGCGTCAGCGTGTCACTCCGCTTTAGTGTGTCACTCCG